TATATATATACATATGTTTGTTTATTTGTTATATACATTTTAAATTAAAATTTACTCCTCGCATATTTTACTTATTCTTTTTAGTTGTGGTTATTTATACATACTTCTATATGAGTATCAGACTTTCTTTTAGGCTCGTTATTTATTTAATTTTTAATATGTACATACAATTTTAAATACTCTATTATTTAATTAATAAAAATAGCCAAGTTACAGCATGCCAATTTTTTTTATTTTAATTAAATCTATTTCGTTCACTCTTCTTAAGCTGCATTGAATGACTTCATCAATTCCAATCTACTTCATTTATAGAAATCAAATAGTTCCTGATCCATTAAGCTGTCTTCATTAAAGTGTCACAAATAAAAGAAATTGATGCCTTTTCTGTTTGAATTCATTGAATATTTTCTTTTCCATTTTGACGAGCTTTCAATTTAATTAAGTCCTATTTTAAATGTATTTATCAAGTCAAGCTAATTACATTTCAATTAAGTTAATTGTAAAAACTTTTCTCAGCTATGTCGGCATGAATTTGCCAAAGAGTTTCTTATTACGGATTCACTGTGAACAGCTTTAAATTGAGCCCATGCCTCTTCCTTAGTCTATGTTCGTTATTCTCTTCACAAGATATGCAAAGTGGCTGCACAAACACGCGTGTAATACGTTAATGATGGTCCACACACTCGCACACACACACACACACACACACGCATGCACATACACATGCAAATGCTGAATATTTTCTTTCCCGTTCCTCAACAATGCACACATTGTAGCTAAGATTTGCATTACGGGCATTGCTCAGTTTTGCAGCTTTTTAGTGTATCTGAAGTCAAGTCTGAGCGCACCGACGAACGCCTACATAGTTTAGCCCCGCCCCTTTCTGCCACCCCTGCTGGCAATCTGCGGCAAATTGTGCGCTCAGTCGTACAGCAGCAGGCCACACCCCAGGAGAGTTGGGAAAGATGCGAGGAGCCGTCGGAAAATGCCATCCTGACAGCAGCAGCAGCAGCAGCGACAGCAGGAGCAGAGGCAGCAGGCGGACAAAACAAAAGGCAGCCGCGCATTCTGTAGCTGCACTTTAGTTTGCACTTTTCGCTTTCTTTGCATAAATTCTCGCGACCAGGCACAAACTGAGTTTACTGTAGTGCAAAAATGAGCACGCACAAAAAAAGAAGGCAGGGCGAGGTGTGGGAGAAGTGGCCAGGAATGGGCGTTGGGGGACAAACTAGATAGATGCATTGCTGTACAAGATTTCCCGTTGAATTTTAAACCAAACACAAAAGCATAATGGAAAACGCCAACAGAGCGCAATGAAGTATGCGATGCAAAGCAGCGCCAAATGGACTAGTTTGCAGATAGAGATATATATATATACACACACACACACATAGACACACAGACATACATACAGATACAAATGCAAGAACAAAGCGTTTCAGGGACAGGCACAAATGAACAGAGTGATGCGATGCTGACTGAGTCTGTGGTTCAGCAGTCGCGTCTTTTGGGTGTGGGCGTGGGCGTGGCAATGGCAGCTCTCAAGGCAACTTGTGCATAAACATAGCTCGTAAACTTTGTGAACAGTGAACAGCATCACACAAACACACAGAGAAGTGGGCCTGCAGCAAAACAGCAAACAATTCAAAGGTCATCGGAGATACCTAAGAGCTGTGCTTATTCAGAGGCTACTTTGCATAGCCCAGTGCTAAATGGCGTCAGCGTTTCATAACTCACAAATTGTTGAAACTTTGACCAAGAAATTTGTCTTAGTTGCCACGACGGCCCTATGAACTATTTATGCATACATATACATGTATATATAGCTGTGTACTTCTGAGTTGGACTCACAGCTAGATATAGCTTTCATTCTTAACTCTCGAGTTATAAAATCAACTTAAACTGAGAAAGTGTATTGAAAATCTGTGATGTGAATATAAATACATATATTTATATAACATATACAAATAATATGCTGTATAATATAATCTGAGGGCCAACTTTGAAAGATGCTAAA